CTACATGGACGCTACAACGGAGAACATTGACCACTTGAGCAAAGTCAGCGAAATCTCGTGCGATGTTGATGCTGGCAATTGCCATCGTCTCTCCCATACCAACCTATCCGGTATATTTCTTTGCAACTATGTAAGTGCTCCAAACTTCAAGGCATGTATGGCTCCGTACTGACGACACTCAGAGCCCCGAGCGCATCTCAACAAACTGTGGAAACCTTGTGCCCCTGGCGACAAAAGTTCAACAAACATGCCAGGTAGACAACTTTTACACCTTTGGAATTATCGGAGGCTCTTCTCGAAACGCGAGTGACTCGATTGACTTTCACTTGATAGTTGCGGGCGAATCCATGGGATATCCTATGTAGTAGTTAAGAGCCCCTCGACTTCGCCACTGAGTCGGATTGTTGTTCGAGGTGGACCAATTGGGCTGCGACCGCAATCTTTCACATTTTTGTATGTAGAATCTTATAGAACTCTCAAAATGTGGAGCTTGTTTTTCCGAAAGCTCGTGCGTTGGTGATGCCCTTACTATTAAACGTCAAATGCTGTCGCTAGGGAAGAAGAAAGATTCTTCAAATATTTGAAATAGCATACCCCAGGTTGCCGTGTAAAACCGTTGGAAAAAAGTATGAGCCATAATTCAATCATTCTTCGGTCTATTTCTATGGAAAATGCTATAGTTTACTATATCACCCATGTAATGATACTTCGCAGCACTTCCGACCAAAACAACCAAAAAGCACAAAATCAATAATTTCACGCACGTAGGCAAGGGAATTGGTCAATTAACAGAGCGATCAACCCCGGAATATTCACCCTATTTCCATCAATTGGCTCCTCATTCCATTTCTGGAGATAATACTGGACCAAAAAAGATCCAACTAGATACATCCGGCCTGGGGAGAACTCATTTTCAGTCAGCTCCTGCTTGCACAGAGTTGTCCTTGTTGAGCCATCTCGAGATGATGTCCATTCTTCGAGCTCTGCTTGTAAGAATGACAGGTGTGCACGAAGACGCGAAATCCGTCTTGAATTGCGTTGAACAGCTCGACCCAGTCGCTTCAACTTGGGCCAGCCTCGTCTCTTCAAAGTTTCAATTTTGGTCGAGATTTGACTCGTATCTAGCAAATTCACTAATGGTAGCCGAGATTGCTTGATAGGGAACGTTATCTTATAGTTTCCCGTCTTTCCCTGCGGCGCTTGTGTAGAATGTATCTGAGCCAATAAATTCGATACCATGGTCATCGGAGGAAATCCTTGATCCAAAGGTGGACGGTGAATTTTGGGAATTGTCGCCGTCAATGTTCCCACTGACCGCTCCACTTCATTCTCGACGGCAGTGATACGATGCTCTGGGGAGGTGCCCGAAAAGAGTAAAACCAGCAGGATCATGCAACTGACGCAGCATTCATCGGAGATTTGGTCTCCCCCATTTGACCACTTTTTTGGTTGTAAAATTTTGACGGGACTTTGGCTAATCAATTGATTTCCAGAAGCCATGACCTGCCGGCACAGATACCGTGTGCACCCGCTTGCGTCGTGTGTGTGTTGAAGCTAAGCTCGAGCGTGGCGTAACGTGGGTGTGCTGACCTTAGTTCGCGGGACTAGCAACCTTAAATAGTCACTAAATATGATATAATAATTGACACGACGTTTTGAATTTCACAGTACATTATAATGCCACCCTGGTCAGCATTGTCGATTTTTGAGGCTATTTGTATAGTTGTGGGCCCATTAAAATCAACGGGATGAATATTTTTCTGGTAGGCAGCAAAATTGGAGGCTGTGTAGCCTCGCTATGAGAATGGCAATATTCATACCAGTCCGACGCCAAAATCTAGAAAACGAAGCGTACTTGCTCAAAGCACGACCGACCTAACGTTGATTTCACCTTCACCATCTTCACCACTTTCATCTCCTTCACCACTGTTGATTGATAAGTGATGCTTCAGTATTCATGTTATTGAGGGGAGTTGGTTGTGTTAGATACAAGGCTGGTAGACAGGTATATATGTATGCACGCGCTCCCAGCCCCTGTGACTATCTCAGTGACCGTGATATTCAACAACCTTCATCTCCTTCATTGCCACTAGCTGCATTTCCACTCAGTTAGGCAGTTCCCACGTCATAATCCCATGATCATTGTCCTGAAACCTAAAAAGGGACCCGTCCTAGGCTGAAAGTGATTTTCGTCTCATTTATTGAACTTAGAACCTAACACTAAACTGTATGTCCCACACTCGGGTTGGAGAAACAGGGGGTCTCAAATTGAAGTCTGGCCCTGATCTATCAATAACAACCCCTAGAGGGTTATTACGAGGGTATTAAGCACAGTAAAAGGGTTTATTGTGAGTCAGTCGCAATGCGATGCGAATTCAAGTATCATTTGAAAAACGCGATACTTCAGCTGTCCTAGGTAGGATTTTCGCACTTTTTTCCGGGGTATCTACCACTAGTTGCGAGGGAAGGATAGGGGTCGATCCCCCGGAATGCCTATGGAAATGACGGAGGATAAAGCAGTGTATGATAAAGACCCCAATTAAAGCAAGACAGCCTCCGAGAACGCTGCAGAGTATCAATACCGCGCCCTGCTTTGAAACCCTTGCCGATAGATTACTGCCATAGACTGCTGTATCATGCCATTCACGATCTGAGGTTTTTGTGGCTGATGTTGGAAACGTCTGGTAAATAGTTTGAGAGCTAGCCGCCGTTCCTGTCAATGTCCTCGACAAAGTTTGGCTTTCATCACTCGGGGCCTGAGATAAGTGATGCCCCGTCGTCCCAGTAATACGATCAGCAGCGCCAGACCACTGGGTTCCTGAAAGTCTGTCGCTTTGTAAAAACCTGCTCTGTCCAGTCCCTCCGGCCTCGGAATCTTGGGTATGTTCCTGGTTCGTCGAATGATGCAGGGATACCACGTAAGATTTATATGAATAATCAGAGTGCAATGTATCCAAAGTAGCCAAGTCTTGCTGAAAGGTACGATCGAATGCAGTCGGCGAAAGGGTGGTTTTGCTAATGACGTTCTGAAGCAAGTCGGTAACGTCGCTCATTGAATCCTCGTTCGGTAAGAGGCTATGGTCATCAAAGCCAGTGCTGGTATATTGTCCTCTTATGGCACCAGTTGATGTATCTACCTCGGCAGCTCCTCCATTGTGGTCGCGTTCCATCGTAAGTTCAACATCAGGGGTGCTGATTGGAGAGCTGGGGTATAATAGCAAATCATCACAGTATAATGGTCGTTTGAAGGCTGGCAAAGGGAATTGTTTCGAGACTGGTGTTATGTGAAGCCTTGATTTCTCCTCAGGTAATCCCTGGCTTGTCCGAGAACCAGGGACTCGATTGAATGTAGACTTCCGTGAAGACAACGTCGGCTGTGTGCCCATAACTGTCAGCGATGGTGTTAAGGCAATATCTCGTCTCTAAAGCCGCGGACAAGATGCAAAGAATGGGGATAGAGGCATGTACGATACATACGACTGCTGAGCGATAGCTGTTTCTTTCCATTGCAAGTTGCTTCACAGACTGAATGTGGATTAATCAAGCACCGGAAGACCAGAGTGTGTCTCCCCCGAGGCTGTCAATAATATAAGTTGGCCTGTTCAATATATTGGGTCTTTGGTGAATCGCCGATATAATTCCAAGTATCCAAGATTAGGGATTGTGGCAATTTAAAACGCATATAGAGTATTATTATAATTATGTCTCATGCTGGCGGTGGATTTGCACGTCAATACCGAGCCGCATCTTTTGAATCCCTAACCCGCAATATAAGTCGTAGCAGGTGAACATCGTTGGAGGTTGCTACAAATGGTGACCATCGTTGAAGTAATAGATTGGATGGTTAGGCCATCACAGATGTCCGACATAAATAAGTGCACCAACCGGCCATGGCAAACTACTATTTTTATTGCAGCAATTTAGTGGACAGATGGCGCCTCCTCTAAGCCGTGTCAAGCGAGAGCAACTCCGCAAGCGTCGCAATAATCTACTACGACGCCACAATGAATTTTGGCTTCTGTATGGGATGAAAAGCTGGCTCATCATGGAACTGCCTGATGGCCAGATATTCACATATCACTCTCACCCAGATACCCCTCCACCCTCAAGGGAAGATGTGGTAAGACAAAATTAATATGAGTATTCAGTGATTTGCCGCTGATTGGTGAAAGAAAACACGCCCCAAGCCCACTATTGTTCGAACGCCTCGCGATTATAGTCCTGTGACCTCTGGTCAGTCAGTTGACAGAGACCTCCCCGTCCGCTGTGCCCCAATCCGTCAAAACCAAATATGGGAAGCTCTGGCGCATCACTTGGAGAATAATCGTCGCATGGTCTCGTAGCAATACAAGCACTTTTGCGCCTATTTAGTTCACTTTGGGGCACAGTGGGATCCCGGGCGCACTTCAAGAATACGGATCTCAGCATAGTGGCTAAGCAATAGAACCTGTTCAATATAATAGTCGGGGTATGACAGCTCACTGTATACAACAGAGCGAATCGAATCCAGTGTACAGTACCATTTTGATCTGTTTGATTGTTTCTCAAACTCTATTTTTAGTGACGCCAGGCCTAATAGAGTTGGTCAAAGACGGACCCTTGCTCATCGCCCTTTTCCTATTCGACGGTCCAAGTTAATCTAGGCCAGATGTAAATTGAAATGGGTTTGGCCATGATTTAAGATGAACCAAAGAGGATAGAGGTAAGTCTGATTACGAGCAGACAAGTAACCTTCAGTTGGTTGCAGTACTTATGTTTTCTACTACTAGATTGGGAATAGCTCATCACTCTAGTAAACCAGATGATCTTCAATATTGAAACCGCTCTATACGGTGTATGAAAAGGCCTGAACTATCCGAGTGCTGTGATTGGTCCATGATTCTGGCACCCAATTGACCTCAACATGCGTCCTTTATTGAGTCAAGTAGTTGAATAGGGGGAAATGACTCAGCAACAACGATACATCGGAATAACAATTTCCCCGTGTCCGTTCTCTGACGCTACCTACGTGTAACACGCATCCGGCGATGTCGGTGGAGTCGACCGTGTTTCGCGCTTGAATCGACAGAAACTAGAACATCTCATAAGTAAACAGACCGTTTCTACTGGGATTGCAATACTTACTAGTTGGGTCACTAGACAGGTCGTGGTTTCGTCTCACGCCGTGGGCGGGTAGTGGGACAGGTGTCTGCGTTGCAAAAGATTATCAGCGCAAGTCCTGACGATATCGTGCTATATGAGCAGCATCGCTTACTACCGGCTCTGGTGTGTGAATGATTGCCATTAAGGGTCTGGAAGCCTGTCATATATTTAGCATGTCTCGTCAGACGGCAAAAAAGGTCATACCACTGGAATCGCAACCAGTAGGACGCTCAGAATGAAGATCCCAAGCGCGATCATATTGTTTGTTCACAAAAGCCAAAAGCACTGTGAAAGATAAGAAAGAAAAAGGGTCGCTGTTATATATCTGACGCTTCCAGGTAATCTAACGAAACGATCAAGGTGGTGTTTGCGATATGAGAGAGCTACCGACCCCTGTAAAGTCACAACCTAAAGTTGATTAGCCCGCAGCAATATGATGTTATCGCATACTTAAAAACATGAGGAATTCATGCTACCCACTCACACGGTCACCTCAGCCTCATTCAACAAGTTCCTCACATGTATACAATGATATATATTTAAGGGAATCTTGCCAACTCGCAGGCTGCATATCACTTCACTGAATTCGATTATTATTTATAAACCACCAAAAGGCTAAAATCCTCAGCTCCAACCACCTCCATGGCCCAGAAAGATTTACTATGTGAATGTATGTTTGTCACCCAAACATTGACAACCGCAGCGCCTATTAGCTAACCATTTTGGACAGGGGTAATGGAAAGCATAATCTCATTACCCGGATTTTCGGCTCGCTACTTTCCATTTCGCGCTCAGCACCAGATCCTGCAGGTCATACAGCGACAACTCGAAACCCATGCCTTCTGCTTCCTTCAGCATTGGCTTCTATCGGAGTCTCTCGCGGCCGGATGGACTTGCCCAGAGGCCTTAGAGTTACACAAATTCTTTCGGTTCTTGGAAGTTCATCAAGAAAAAGTCAAGGACGAATGTTTTCAGTTGACTTTGAGCGCGTTGACAGGATGGCGTCGCGTGATTACTAGCATTCGCCACGCAGCTGTGCACCGCATTCCACACGATCGAAAAACACTGCTTAAGATGGTTCAGGTGGCCATCAAATTTTTGAAATGCATCGCTGGCTTCAAAGTCTCCAAAAGTCTTTGTCGCATTCAAAAGTTCGTGAAGACAGCTCTTTCAGAGTTCGACCAGCTGACAGCCCAGCTAAAGCAAAAGGCCCGCTTACAAATCTCTTTGTGTGAAGCTTACCCCCATTATTTGGATCGGCGGTTGATCTTGCTTCCGGAAGCTGTCAGGAGAGTGCTTCAGAGCAGTGAAGACGACTTCGTCTCTAAAGTGGAACAGTTTTTACGCACGGGGTTCAAAAGTACTTAGGGGTCGTCAGCTTATCCCTACAACGCCACGCGCATGGCGAACTGCACCGTCTCTCTGCTGTGGCTAATATAAAAAAAATACGTAGCCTGAATTCTGAAATTGCTCCTATACTTTTAAGTTTCCTGGAAAAAGTTCAAGTCACAGATTTAACTTCGTCTAAGTCTCAAGTCCTCCGTCCGCTTTCATCCCGAATTCAGCCCAACCGTCTGTCCTGAATTGTCCGTCTTGACAGGTGTCAAAGGCACACACAGCTCTCAAAGTGTCAAAGCCATCGAAGTGAAGACTGCCTAACAGAAGACACCTTCCACTGCTGCTTCCACTCCTGCTCTGCGCTGGTTTCCTCTGCTCGGGCTTTATCAAGAGCCACTCTTAATGAAACGATAGCTCGAATCAGGCGCGGGTCCCCAGAAGGGCTGTTTGCCGGGTTGAAATGATACTGCAGAGCTAGACTTTGGGTCGCGTCCATTGTGGTGCTGACAAGTTGGTGGAAGGTCTCAAAACACTGGGAATAAAAATCGTTCTCAAGCCCCTGTTGACTATGCTGCTGCATTCTTTCGGCCTTCAACTCGGATACCGACATTTCGGGGTTTGTTTTGGATTTTCTCAGTCGTGGCCGGGTGGTTTCCAAGGCCATGGTAGATCCGCGAGCCATAGAGATTTGGTGGTCCAGTAAATTTATCTCAGGAAGAGATGGCTTGATCTGTAGGGTAGTTGGTATGGTAGTCATAGGGATAGCATCTTTGGCCGTGTCGGTGGATCGACTGTAGATGCTTGAAGTGTTGTCGCGAGAGTGACCGGGAATTTGATGTTGAAAAGGGTTCATATCGGTCGCAGACTGACGACGTCTCGGCTATCTGAAACGGAGGTCGGGCTTGAGGGTTGCAGGCACTTTAAGAACGAAAAGACCATTTCATGGGCGAAAGCAGTCAATTGGTGCTCTAGAATATTTTCTGGACGGCTGTCCTCACATTCTCACCACCGTTGACGGACCCGAACTCTTAGACGTGGACCAGCACCGGCATAGTGCCAAGCTAGCCTGTTGATAATTTCAGCAATGCTCCCAGGCCCAATTATACCGCCATTCTAAAAAGTGGTATATTGGAGACGGCGCATGGTTCTTTGTCAACTAGCGAACTTCGCGACGAGTTTTGTCTTTGCACTGACCCCTACTCGCGCTTTCCAGATACTGACAAACGGGGGCGACCATAACATGTGTCCACTGGTTACAAGTATAGACAGATGACATACTACAGTTCGAATTCAGACTGCCCATCTAGAATAATCATATAGTTCTAATTGTTACTATTCTTGCCAGAGTAAACCTAGTCTCCGTGCATTCATCTGGATACCCCTCGAGATCTAAGCTGAATTTTGCTTCTACTTATTACTTTACCTAAAACGCCGAACGACAACTTCACACAGCTCATAACCGCCGTTTTTTCTGCCCCAAAGCAGGTTCCAAGAAGTGAACCAGTCGCTTCGACCCACGATAGCAGTAACAAGATCTCCGTGGCGGCCAATCTAGGTTTTGATGATCTGCACGTCCAAACTGAGCGTAAGCCCTCTGCTCATCGAGAAATTATAGCGCCGATTTGGGGAAGCCGCCAATCTTTTCGCGAAAGGTGTCATTGGCAATCTCGATTGAGATCCTTTCCTCAAGGCTGGCGACCCGAAAATCAACACGCTTTCTGAAATATCCACAAAATTGGCAAATGTCGATTAGATCTATGCTTCCCAAATCAAGATCCTGACCAGACTGAAATCTGGCGCCGGGGAACTCGACAAGCACGCGCTGCAAGATCCCGGCAGGATTTGGCCGTGAACATAGAACATATCCCCGACAATGGAATGAAGCATTGCCCTGGGTGGGAGATTCGTCCAACTCAAAGAAAACATAGCCGACGCGAGAATAGTTCTCACAAGCTCAGCTGGCACTGCAAAATCCATATTCGACATCGCTTCCAACGAACACACATCGTCTAATTCGGGGAGTGTACCATAGATTGCCTGGTCCAGTCGGAGCATATCAGGTGTCGACATATGGGGTAGGTAATTGAGAGCTTCCAAAAACCCTTGCTTTCCATCCATAGACGGAGAGGACATCATGGCTCGATACAGTCGAGGAAGAGCACCCTCCAGAATTCGACCAAGGAATCCCGTTGACTCACTGGGGGTAGACGTGGAGAACCCTGTTCCGACAGATAGGAGAAGGTCGTGTCGTTTCGCCATGGGCCAGATGATGCCCGACTCTCGCAAAGCAATGGCTAGCGGATTGTTCGCACGTGACCCCACCATCTTGCAAGAGACCAAGGCCTGGCAACCTTTTTGGTTGGAAGTAGCTAGAGAATGTCAGCGTTTTAGAATGTCTCATGGTGCTTGGACTCACATGGGTGCTGCAACACTGCATATCGATCTGTCAAACTAACTGTTAGCAAAATCGACTACCACTATCCAAATTGGGTGGATGAGGATCGACTTACGCGTCACATAAGGCAGGATTTTCTCCGACGTTGCGTGGAGCTAGAAACTGATAGGCGGTGTTGGTGGTACGCGGGCTTGTTCCTCGGTAATTGGCCAATACACAGGCTTTACCATCGGAGGTGCGACTTGCCACAATAGCGATCCGGCAACCCGCAGGGCTAGCCGTGGCAACATCGAACATGCGGCGAGATGGGCCAACGGCTGCTTTGAAGATTTGTGACAGCCTATCGGAACCATAAAGACCATCTCTGGTCAAGTTGAACGCGGAGGCAAGCCACTGGATACAGCGAGGAACTGGGCTATTTGATGAACGACGAAAAATATTTCGCGCAAGGTCGGGAAATGCATTGAAACATTGCGTGACCGAAGATTGATTGAGAATAATGTCAATAGCCGACAATGCGCCTACAAGAGGAGGCTTCTTAGTATATCAACCACAACGAAAGACTCGGCCACTCGTCGTACATACCTACACTAGTTCCAATGCACAGGTCCGGCAGAGACGCGATCGAAATGCCAAAGCGACTTTCTAAAGCCCGTAGAAGGCCCAGTTGGATCAGACCGCGCACTCCACCTCCATCTAAACTGAGATCACCGGAGGATTAGTCGGAGGTACTTGGCAGACAGTGACGTCGGACCTCTCCTCGCAGATGGGACATTGAGCAATCTCGAAATGATACTCCCCAAGCGAACTTGGATTTCCGAAGATCACAACGCAGGTGTCACATATTGCATGTTTACAAGGGAGCATATGCTCCGGGGGTCGACACAGACAGACCAAGCAAGTAGTGGTGGAGCGAAGACCACCCCACCGGCGATACAAGCGATATAACGTCTCTTTTCAAATGGCTGCCGATGTCTTTACACCGCTTAACTGCGTAAAGTGTTAATCTGGGTCCATGGCAAAACAAGCTGCGTCTTGACCTCTTGTTGTAGCCTTGCAGGGGTCAACGTGCCGTCTGCACCCGCTAGTGAGAAGGTTTGATGCTTTGTCGTTGAATGCTTGAGCCACTTGGAATCGCCCAACCTCTGTTTGAGGCATAGACCGCTTCCAGCAAACAATATAGGATTCTGTGTATGAGCGGTCTTGGTGCTGAGATGGAGACGGATTACGCCTGCGGGGCCTTTTCGTGTGATGTTGTTGTAGGGGAACAGAACCCGCAAGGCTTTCTTGCGGTTTGAATTTCCGGAAAAGTACAGCAGCGATGGATATTGGAATTCCGGATAGGGCAATTCCTGCACTAGATGTTCCAGGCGGTTGGTATCAACTAAATTCCATGCTTCATTCTCTTTGACGAGGTCAAGCCAGGCAGCCATTAGAAAGCTTGAGAGATTTAACAAGAAAAGGGGCCTACTGGGGACTTTATATACGGGCTCCCATCTGAAAATGACAAGCAGTGGTTCAAGGGTGGTTTGACACTCTGATTAAAGTTGGCATGATCTTGTCTCGTCTCAAAATCCCCTCTGAACCAAAAACATGTCAAGCACCAGATTCCTTCCGCCAGTGCATCTGCAGATGGCGGCCGCTTAAATCAAGTATGCAGCAACTTTTGCGTTCTGTCAGAAGCCATTAGCTTTTGACTTCGGAAACCAGACCACGCAAGGCTCACCGCAAGGCAAAAATGCGGCTTCCCCTATAATAGAAGCTGGACCTAGTTGGACCAAGTACTGTAGCGGCCTTTCCCTAAGGACTATTTAAAGTGCTGACAAAGTCCTTTGTTGGGTTTACCTTCTTATGGAAACCCTAAAATTTCTTCAGTCATCCCCTTTGTTGTGGACATTCATACAAGTATGCCAGCGAAAATGGGATTGGAAAAGACTCCACTTCCTGGAATAAACCCTGTGCTTGTTCCGCCTTGCTCAGCTGCAAATGTGACCCCCGGGTTGTGTAGAACCAACCAGATACACCACGCAAATGAAACTACCTATGTCAGAATGCTTAGAGAAGAAGCGCAAATGGATATGCGTTTCAGTATCACGGTTGGTGCGGCTAACTGGGCACTGCTGGCCGGCTATCTAGTCATTCCCGGCACGTTCACTTCACTGCAGACCTCAAACCAGGTTGAAAAGACGTTGCAAACCAACAAGGCCGGTCGTACCGCTCTACATATGATCCAGAACCCCCCGTTACTTGGTATTGCGTGCTTCCTTTTTGTTAGTGGAATTGCAGCTCTCATGTGGCTGATGCACGTCCCAAAGCTCAGGGGAAACTACCCCTGGCTGATCAACAAAGTGTTTGTGTAAGTGAGAAAATCCCACTTGAGAGGTTTGAGAAGCCAGATCTACATCTAACCCTAAACTAGACCCCTATGCCTGCATGCTGCTGCCGGGCTGCTAACCACCGTCATCAACGTCTGTACGTCTCAGGGTGGGAATTGGTCGGTAATGGCTATTATAACAACTGCTGTTACTGGAGCAACTCTTCTGATCTGTTCAGCACTTCTTGCGCTTTACAAGTTCTACAAATTGGAGCGCATCGCAAAGGAAGATGAGGATGTCAGGCGTTCTCGAGCCCCGATCATGTCTGATACGTGATATCAGAGCTTTTAGCCATGAGAAGGGCATCTCCAGAGGTATCACTATGGAACTAGGATTGTTCTTTCCCATTTTTCCTTCCATTTGATCTTACCCGTGATTCTGGTATTGCAGAAGCCCTTTTGCTTCTAGAGTTAAGTTGTGAAATCTCACAAACAGTCTGAATCTGGATGTGTATTTTTACGTATTTCCGGATAGCTCTCTCGTTCATCATGTCACACAGCATTACTTCTTGTTTAGTTTTCCAGTTCCCATTCAGTATTTAGCATGTATCCCTGTCATGTAACAACATTAGTCCGAGGCCAAATGGCGTAAAATAGCATGTTTAATGTAAAAGAGGGTTTCGTTCAGAAGCTCTGAATGATCGGTAAATTGAAGATCGGCTAAAGGACACTCTGTGACGCCACTATAGCTGAAGAGCAAAGCGCATTTATGTGAGGTTGAATGGAGTTCCAAGTCAAGTAGAGGGCAGTCTTTCAGGAACCAAATGCACAACCTGATACTGTACTGTATGAGTCTAATCACTTGCAGGCCAGGAAACACAAGTGAACTTTGCATTTTGCAAACCGTTCGTTTCGCTTCATTCAATTCCTCAATTTGAAACCTATCCAACATAATCAATAAATGAGTCTTGAGGTCAGCACATCTGAGTTCGTCGACCAACAGCCTACTGAAAGTCGCCGCAAATAACGCTCACATGAACAATGACGATGCTAAAATTTTCATATGTTGATTGCTCAACCTTGCTCACTAAAATGCAGGCTTAGTTCAATGCTTGAATGAGGGGCGGCTCCAAAAGTGAGCCCTGAGGAGGTTGCCTCCAATTAGAAGAAGGGATCATACTCAAAGCCCGAGCTATAGACCTCATCAGAAACACATGAAGCGCGTGTCACCTAGTCTCCTTATTCTGAGGCAGGATTTCAACGAGCTAGAACGCAATTTGATGCTCAGTTGGTCTTTCCGTAATGAAGTAGAATAAACGAGAATAAACACATAGTCTGTAAGACATCGACGAGTAGTACAAGGCCCATAGTGGTGAGAAACGAGGGCCAACGGCAAGCAAACTTGCAGCTGTTGATTAAACGATCGGTTGTCAGAAATGTGAGGATTGAAAAGAAAATCAAATAATTCACTTTCTTTTATTATAGCTGAAAGAAGTAGGGTGTTTATTTAATATCATTGGCTAGACAACTGTCTCCACTCCAAACCAGCGCATTTTCCCTAATACCTAGGCACCCCCCAAGTCTACAGCAAAAAATTCATTTCACCCAGGTTAGAGATGTCCTGGGCAAGCCCCGTGCCATGCCTATTTCTGCCATATTTTCCAGGCCCCATTCCAACGTCTTTTTCCACCCTCATAACTTCACGCGAGCTTCTCATTAATTCATGTACTGGCTTTTCCATACCTCTAAAAGCCACTTTGTCTCCACCACGGTTGAATTACGCACGCGATAAGCTGACTACATAGGCTATCTACTTTCCCCTATTGTCAGGGATATACATGAAGCATACGGAACGGATGGAGATATGATCTACGCGGGACCCACATGGTGTATATGGGTTCCCCTGAACGCGAGGAAGCTACCTTTCTTTTGCTTCCTCGCGCTACGTCTTGTATCTAGAGTCAACTATAGTTGTTCTTAATATTGATTATTCATCTTGAAACACTATCCACCTCTATGTATACGTGAGACCCTCACAACTATGAGTCTGATTCCTAGGAGCGACCAAGAGCGTGCCTATGAACTATTATATGGAATCCTAGGGCTGGATATGATCCCAGGAACGTGAGTCTCACTCCCGAAATAATATAGAAAAATAAATCGTGTGGAGTACTTCACGTTTCTATTTCTGAAATTTCCGTCACAAATGAACTTGGTAGCTGAGCCAACAAGCAAGGTACAAGAAAGGCTTGGGTTTGATGCCTGGGGAATCTGGCATAAAGTTGACACCAGATAATTCTTCTAGGTAGACAGGATGACATAGTTCTTGCAACAGACTTGGGGGCGCCTGGGTATTAGGAAATTCGCGTGATTAATAGTGGGGAGTTTCCCGTAGCCAATCATACTCAATAAACACCCTATTTCTTTCACTGCGTTTTTTTTAAGAAAAATTGAATTAATCGGTTTGTTATTCTTTTCGACCATTTCGTAGTCAGATTGCCGAGGGACAATCAATTCAATTGGTTAATCACCAGCTGTAAACCTACTCTTGCCCGTTGACCTTTATCCTTTCACCAGCATTGATTGGCCTTTAACACTCGTTTACAGCTCCTTGCACGCTATTATTCTACCCTCATTTATTCTGCGGTGCAGTTATCCTGGAAAGCATCTTTTTTTTAGTTAACTAAATAGCTGTCATTGAATACGTGGCATAAAATCGACCGACCACAGAGGCCTAAACGATTTCACGCAGTTAACTTGGAGCGCGACTCTTAAGGTTTAGGAGATACACGTGATAGTGTGCGGGGCCCAGGAAGCGTGGGTGTATTCGGCCAATGGCAGTAATTGGCAGTAATTGACCACCGTACTCTTGTCCAGGAGGCCGCGTCTCTCACCTGCCATCCGTTTATTGCTTTTCATCACCACTTCTAAATGACCAACATAACCAACCTTTACCATTTCCGGTTCAACTGTTCAACAGTTGACTCGGAGTCAATCACGAACTCATCTGAGTTACTCATATTCATGGACGCTCACCCGTGTCCTGAACACCCGAAATGTTCACCTCAACGTCTTGAGTCGAGCCTCGATTTCTACGAAAAATCGACTCCTCACCACATCCGACCGACATCGCACATGATTTGGGATATTGCTCAGCCTGGAATATCGTGCAGCCATGCATCGGCTTCACATTCATTCCTGCGGTCAGTGTTTTGGCGCATCGAGAACAGTCCCATTTTTGGAATAAACTATACGGAGAGACGCCTGAGGATATGATTCGAAAATTCAGGCGCAGATACCAATATTCCCTAAAGCTCTGTCCTGTCCTTGCGCGCAAGGCATATACCAGATAGGCGTTACACCTATCCTGATGGTGAAGGTTACGGAAAGAACCATTTACATAATAGTATGGTTTGATTTGTTTGCTCTTTGATATACAAATGGCCGACACAGACACAACAAAAAGAGGGGGTCAATCCCGGTCAAGTCTTGCCTTAGCCTGGTTGATACTATTTTTGTGAGCCTCGCCTGTGTTTGATTTAATTGGCTCATTCTTCCCTCCCCCCAACCAGAGGGCAACCGTTGCCCCGAACGTTCCAGAAGGATTTCTGTCTTCATTGACAAAAGACGCAGTCTTTGTCTTTTGCCATCATCATCGCCCGCCATGGATAAGGCCATTTTGGGTCTGACAGCCCAGAAGATACGAGAGCTATTCACAATTTGTGGAATTGAGGACAGTGAGGAGCACCTTAATCTGGTTATCGCCCACGCTGCCGATCATGGTGAGTTAGCCCCCGCCAACGTCTGAGAGAATGGATCATTAACGGTCGCTTTAGTTTACAAAGCTCGACTCGTGATTGCTAGGGGCGCGACCGAGCCTATTTCTCAGGCTAAGGAAGCGACCATAGAAACCCCTCCGACTCCACCACATGACACTCGTGGGTCCTATCGACTTATGAAACGGACAGGGAAGGAGGGTCCTACAACCTATAGCGATATGGCCAGCACGGAGAAGAAGAAGAAGAAGAAAAAGAAGAGAAAAAGAAGCCACCGGTCGGAGTTGATAGATCAACCGCCCGGTTCGTCAGTAGCTGATGGAAATGGGACAGCCAAAGATAAGGCACCCGAGGAATCAATTTCGCCAGAAGTACAAACAACGGTATGTTATTTTGTTCATCTAGATTGAAGAAAGTCTAATAGATACATGGTTCATGTTTAGTCCGAAGTCGACGACCCCGAATCTGTGCCAGATCCCCTTGACAGCTCTTTGCCGTTACACCTAAACTCAGCCTTCGAGATGAAGGTCATAACAACAATATTGATACAATGTGTCAAATACAACTCTGATATCGCACAATATGGACAGCGCGACTGCATGGCCCTGGCAACAACTAAGCTCGAGAGGATGCGGGAGCACGCCCAAGAGTTCTCTGGATACAGTTATGAGCAGGCAATTCACGCTATTCGAAGAGACACTGCTTTAACTACTGGCAGGGCAATACAGACAAGATACAACGAGACTATCTTCTGGCCAATCATTCTCAAGTGCGCGGCGCTGATCGACCCTGCCACGCTGCCACCCGTCAAGGGCCCGGCTGATGGATTCACCATGGCGGAAAAAGCTGCCACAAAGAAATTCATGGAAGACACCGGGTATAGCTTGGGTGCAGAAAACCAGCGACAATACCGCATTTTCTGGAAGAACATATTCCACATGCGTGAGGCTGGTATTGAGAAAATTCTCTTCTACCGTACGAAAGAATTCGACAGTTTCTGCAGAGGTTATTCCAAAACATCGGAAACTCCGCTTGTGGATAAAGTTTTGAGATGGGAAAACGAGTATCTCCCTCATTTCGAACAACTGGAAACGCGGATTACCAAATTGAAGACAGGAGACTCGAAGCGTCTTAGCTACCTCACCAATCCTCAGGTGCTAGAACGGTTGAAAGTGCCAGAGCTCTCTTGGGATAATGCTTCGAACGAGTGGGCCGTCAACACCGAAGAAGAAAGCTTCAGGCAATGCGGCTCAGTGTCTATCTCGACTGATATTCTAGGCATACCACACAACGATGAATCGGTATACGAAGGTGGGACAGACAAGTCCGCATTCATCACTCTTCTGCCTAAAGACGACGAGTCTCTATTCGTCTCTTCTATTGTGCCTATCTGCGAGGGAGACTTCCTGGGTATATTTGCCGGCACTATCCGTTTCTCGGAGGATTTTAACGTCACCCACGGTATCTCAGGTCCCGCCGAGAGTCTGTGGCTGGACTATTCTCAGGTGACTGGGGCGCTGAATCAAATGCAGGTATCTGAACCTGGTGGTTACGCAAATGTGTGCCTTCGTTGGGCCATATTTCATGACGATACTGCGACAGAGCCGCGCGTTTCATGGCGCGTCTCCGTCAAAGCCACCAAGCACATCATGCCATTTCATCCGATCGTCCGCGCAGCTGCTCAACAAGAGCAATACCATTTGCATCTGTCACCTGGAAATGCCAAAAGAGGCTTTCTCGAATCTGCTACTAACTAGTGGTCTGCTGTTGGGGCTCCCTTTGCTTTTTCAAGGAATCTTAGGTGCGTTCCGTTCCAGACAAATGAATACAAGCAAAGAAGACCAGCCAGTGACAAATTCATGGAATTACTTCTTATCTTTGTCCCATATTTCTAATTTACTTTACAAGAATGCATGTATTTACTTTAATCTTAGCTATATTAAAAATTGGCGAGTTTTAAATTTACTATGACACAATATTAGCCCCGTTATAATTATTTATAAGGCTAAAATTATGGTGGCAATGATATTGGAGTGCTTTAGATTTACAAAGATATAATATTAGGTCTGGCATAATTATTCATGAGGCTAAAATTAATCTAGGTGAAAATTATGGAGGCAATAATATTAAAGTCGTTCGGCGTTAGCCGGAGATAAGGAGGTCTAAGAAGGGTTCTTTAGGACTCCTTTCTCCACCTTGGAGTAGGAAGACCGAGTAGTCTGGCGCTTCAAGGAGTAGGGTAGCAGAAAGAATCTCGCACGCAGTGGAGACGCACGGCCTGCTCCCGACGAGATTGAAGTGTACTGGAACAGTCAGATCCACCTGGATATCACAGAAACTGAGTAAGCAATTTACGGGCACCACTCTCATGCATGACGCCGATACGGACACGGCTTTTCCTCGGTTTCATGGAAGCCCGCTGCGTGCGGAGGTCCTCCTCTACTCTCTCGACACTTTTCTCGTACTTCGAAACGTCTATTTCTGGCACCATCTCGCGCAGCAACTCTGTTAGCCCGCCAACTACCTCGACAAGACTAGGGTCAAAAACGGGTATTTGTTGTTGTTGTTGCTCGTGTGCAATCTCGGCAGAGGTTGGACGAGTTCTGACAAATGAGTATTGTAGTAAGATATCATCGTCGTCACTCGAAATGCTGCCTTGTTGATTCAGAAGGAGCATCCAGCTGCCAGGGTGTATATCTCTGGCTCCGACTCTTGATTCATCACTTGCTGCGAGGTGGCTGCCAAAGAATTCAGTGGGAATGGGGCTCACAGCGAACCGTCCTGGTGATACAGATGGTGGCGACGACTTGTCGTCGTTGGTGGTGGTGAGTGACGAGGAGACTTCCCCGCATGCGAATCGCAAGATGGCCTTGTCAGAACCCGAATTCACGGAACGGAGGTATGATAGAAATCGGACGGCAAAGCGCTCGGGGTCTAGAAGGGTGTTGCCCATGTCGTAATAGTGACTGTTCTGGTGGTCTGCGTCTGCGGCATCTTCGCGCTGATGACCCACAAACGTGAGCATGTGCATCACAGGAAATATTTGGGCAACGGGGGAAGGGTGAGTGAAAATAGTAGTCGAGGGCGATGTGAATTTACGGCTGCGCAAGGATGTCGAAAAGGCGCAAGTCGGATAGATGATTCTGTCGCGGAGCCACGCCAAGTCTGCTGATGAACCTCCTGATGACGTCCCCCGCAGCAGCAGCTGCGTGAAAAAACGAGCAGAGGCGTCATCGCTGTGCCTGTCCGGTCCTTGGAAAAAACAGAGCTGTTTGAGGGTCTTGGACTGCGCCAGAGCCGCTACTAGATCACTGAGGTCTCCCTCGTCCCCCTCCACCTTGAACTTATCGACGCAGAGACTGAGCGCAGACGCGCCTCGAAGTTCTTCAGATGCGATCGCGGCAGCGATCACGGCGGGCGCGAGGTTCCTAAACGCAACCCAGTTGAGGTGCGTTTGTCCGGCGTATGCAACGCGCAGAATATGGCCCGAGGCCTCGGAGGACGGTCCCAGGCTATGGGGCACCTCTTCGAGCCGCCGCCGCAGCTGCTCGCGGAACTCGGCAAGCTTTTGAAATTTGTCGATTGTCTCCTCATCGAGGTGAAGATCGGCGGGATCCTGTGTGAGAATCAGCAGATTATCGATGGCGCGGTCCATGTGCGCATTTCGCGGCGGCTCGTTTGACGTAGTCAAGCGCGAGGGTGTTGTGGTCGATGCATCTTTAGCGCTGGTGGTGGACTTTGAAGGCCAAAAGTCTTTTCCATAAGCCAGTAAATGCCGTAAGTATGTGTAAAAATAGGGAAGCACGAGTGATCTACAGACAATTTGAGATGCTTGAGATGACACCTGGCGAAGATTCTGCAGCCTGATCTTCGCCTCTAGGCTGATTTTCAAGCTCCGGGGGCCAGATGTCTACCATTACCAAGTCAGCTCATGCACATCATCTTGATACTAGAGATAGTAAGGTGGCGAGGAAACAGACTTACAGTCTAAGGCTGCAGCATGAACAATCGGCGTATTCTTCAGTATCAGGAACCTGGGGTCCTCTTCCAGGTTCATGTGGTAAAAGTACTTGCGTAGCCACGGAGAAATAGCCAACGGCACTCGAGGCCGCGGGCTGGCAAGTACAGTGTCAGGCTCCTTCTCAGGCGGGGGGTCTTCAACTGGATCCCAGCCACCAGTCTCACACCAATAGGAGACTTCGGCCATATAACGCACGGGGAAACCAACGATGCCGTACTTGACGCCGCTGTCAAGGTCGGAGATGTCGAGAACGACAAGGCCATACTCGAGGCAGTCAGCACGGAACAAAGTGGATAACGGCTGGAGCTGAACGTCGCCGGGGCGCGTGCTGATGCTATTAGTGGCATTAGAATCGCCATCGTTGCGCAATAATGCCAGCAAAAGGCAGGTCGTTGTAAAGGGAAACTCGCTGAGCCCATCATCATGCCATGGCAGCTCGGGCTGTATTTGCGACTGCTCTTCCTCCTGGGAGCCATCAGGTATAACGAAAGGAGGCTGCGGCCTGTCTGGAATGCTAGGCCGCTCATTACTCTCAGCCTCGTTTTCACCCTGAGACCGACCATACCAGCCCTCCGCGAGTGCCCTCTCCGCCTCAAGTGGCGCGCGGTTCGCGGGATCTGAGAATATTTTGATCAGCGCAAGGATGTCTGCCACAACTTTCTCAACACGTTCCGAAGATGATACTGAGATGTCCTTATCGTTGCCCTGCCGGTAGGCCACGGCCAGAGAGCGGCTGGCTCCGCGGGGGCCGACATTGGCGATAACGGAGAAGAGGAAGGAGCGGGGACTTTTGGAGTACAGACACTCGTATCCGAACATTATATTATCTACAAGAGGGGACGATTGACATGAGCAAATGGTCCAGATAGCAAACAGCTGGGAAAGAAGGAGAGGAAAAGTGCATCAGCCTAACATTTAGCTTAGAACAGCCTCGTATAGGCGTTGGCAAAAGACCGCTAGCCTTGGCCTAGCGGGACAAAGTGATGGGGCCAAGCGATGGCTTCTTTCACTTCTCCTTTCAGTTCTGGTTATTCTTTTGGGATTGTATACTACAGATTGTGCTAGGGTATCATTAATTCTTCTTAAATTCCACATATTTACTCCGTACAACACGCGATTATATGACACTTCCAGTCTTAAGGCGGGGGTGGAAAGGGCTGACGTAGTAAGTCCCCGAGCGTCGGGGATCTCTCTCTAGAGGCGTCGCTGGGCTTACGTTCCGAGGCGAAGATCCTTGTACGGAGTACTCTTGACAGCTCTCGGATCACAGGTCCACTCAGACTATCCCATTTGTTGATTCTCATTATCGTATACCCAGCGAAGACAACATGTCCGAGTGGCTGTCGGACTATATCTCGGACGCTAAGTCCTATACAAGGGTGATAATTTAACAACTTGACTATTGATTGATCAAAGAAAAACTGGGTGAATTCAGTACTTTACGAAATCAGCTATCCCCTCGTCCGTCCCGGGAAGGACAATTAGCGCAGTGCACTAGTGTATTATAACAGCGCGTGCTAATTGGCTAATAGCGGTAACACCTCGGTAACCTGAATCAATGTATTAATTAGGCCTAATTCGGTAATCCATGGAATTCATCCGAACAAGCTCCTTTCACACATAGTGCCACATTATACGCCTATCAGCCTAGAAAGCGGTCTGAAAGGCGGAGCCTTCGCTTTCTATCCAATCAGAACTCACGACCCTGGGATTTATTTTCCGGGAATCAAGTCACAAGAGTGCAGAGGTATAGCTGATTTCGAATAATACTGTACATTGAATAGTCCCTCGTGGAAAGTCACCTTTTCGTGGTGAGTGATGTCAGTAAGTTGGACTGCAATGTCTGACCGAAACTGAGAAATTTTCAATCGAAACTCCGGTGGAAACTCCTTTATTGGTTGTGACGGTGCGGCGGGAAGCCTTCAAAAGGACACGTCAACAACGTCGCAATGTCGACGAACCTTCGAACAACCGACCTGCCTACACATTTTCAACCTACACTCACCGGGTTTTGCTCACAATAACTCACCTGCCCTACCGGTTCGGTCGCATGTCAATTCGTCAGTCCTTCGTCTGCTATCTGGTGTTGCCGCCAGCGAGGCAGTCAGCTACTTCGGGCTTTAATATGAGAAGTACTCTCGGTAAATCGCTACTCAGGGAAGAGGTTCACGAAACTACATCGGGAATGGACACGTGGGGGGTCGGTGTCACAGAGGGATGGGTTATTGCTTTTTGGGAGAGGATATGATGACAACAACAAGAAGAAATCGTTAAGGACACACCCGTATGGGCTAGAGGGGTTTTTGGCAACTGGTTCAGCTTTTCCTCTCGAAAATGAGACTATGACAAAATGTATGCAATGGAAAGATCAAATAGCGTATAGGTGCCCTCTAGGTTTGATACCTCCGGGCGTAATGAATTGTGTGTGTGTGTGTGTACATTGAATATTACATTAGATTCGATGATTATAGCCAATAGTGACCCGACCTGGCAGGGGTCGTTCTTAGTAAAACAGGTGTGCCTACAGTAATTCCCAAAAAAGATTAGAGAAAATTCCATCTGTAGAATTAGGGACTATCCTAACTAAAAAATCCATTCTACGCGCTACTCTAGGCAAGGAGCACTGTTTTTAGATACATGATGTGACCTAGGTATATATATACAAACCCATCCAACTAATCGCATGCAGGTAGATCCTCGTATAACAAGATCCCTTGAATGGATACAACGTCAGGACAGGTGCCTGAGCATGGGTTATCATCATCCGTGGGGTCTAGCTGTCGAGGCGTATACTTTTTGCCATTGATCGAAATTTGATATCCGCATTCGCCGAAGAATTCAGGGCCTTCGTCCACAAATTTAGCATCGTCCTTTTTGCACCAATCAAAGGTGAATTCGTCTTGAGGAACGGAGCAGATCTTTGGAGACGATCCGATATTGGCGTCAGTGACAAACATGCCATCGCAGTGGTAACCTGGATTGTGTTGTTAGCATGGGTAAATCTCTTTCGGTTATGATCTGGTAATTGCACTTACCAGGCGCATAAATGCTATAGGCATAGAGTGGGAATTGCGACGTAGGTGTCGTTGATTTACCAAGACACAACGGCACAGTTTCAACAGGCGGCGATGATGTAGTCGTTGGTGATGTACCGGTAGTCGTCGATGTCGATGTCGGTTTCTGGGAGGGCATGCCATGAGGGTTCTTCGGGTCCTTGGGGTCGTAGTAGTCCGGCGGGTGACTGATTTTCGGATTTGGATCGCAGTAGTACCCCTTGCAAAGCTCTCCGCCGCAGTGGTCGTCGCCGTTGCACTCGGGCTCCGACGGGCCGTCTTCCCAGTCGATGTTCTTGCCCGGGCCGTTGTCATTGGGAATAACGGGGCAGCTACCACCGTCCCGCCGCCGCTTTGCCGGGTTGCCGCTCTGGCCTGCCCCGCAAGGCTCCACGGGCTCCCCAGGATTCATTGGCTCGTCTTCGAGGCTGTCCTGGATGTTGGGGCACACCTTGGCCCAGTCTTCCTTGGACCCGTAGTCGCGCAAACAGCTGTGCTCGCCGACCTGGCCGTTCCAAATGATCGGCCGCCGGTCTGCGGGGTCAACGTTGTGGCTATGTACGGCGAAGCGACGCGCAAAGAGCTGGATGAGCTTCTTGACGTTGCTTGTTTTGCTCAGCTGAGACTGCCACGGGGACGGCACTGATCGGAAGTAATTGGCCAGCGCAGCGACCTGTGGAGCGGCTGCAGAGACAAGAAGAGGGCAAATTAGTCAAGCCATGGGATACAATTTGTCTTCTCACGGGGCCGTTCGTTGACTTACCAAAGGAAGTGCCGCTGCAGGTCACCATGTTTTTCCCGGAGTCCAAGAACTTGTCGGCGGGGCAGTGAATGTCCTTCCCCGGGGCAAACGTCGTCACAAAGGGGGAGTAATTGGAGAAGTCGGCTCTCTCGGTCTTCCAGTTTGCCGCGGCGACCACTATCAGATTGTCGAGGCCGCCATACTGGTCGTTGGGGTCACCGAATTTGGCAGGATATCTTCTCACGGGTATCTGCTCCGATTTCGCGTGGTTGTTGGCTGACACGACCACTACAACGCCTTCGTTGTCAAGCTTCTCTAGTAGTTGTCCTGGAGCAAGAAGTGAATGTTAGCACAACATCCAGAGGGCAATGAACTATATAGCTTATCTGAAGCCAGGAAAGAAATTCACTGTTACTCACGGAATACGATGTGAAACATGGTTGTGACGGTGTCGAGGCCGAAGGAAAAGCTCATGTTGATGGCCGACTTGCCCTGCCTCTTTTTTTTCTTGACATCATCGAGTGTGTCGATGAGTTGGGCAATGATCTTTTCGTTGGGAAAGTCATACCACTTTTCTACCTTTCTGCTCGGAGACTCGCTTGTGACAACGACCAAGGTGCACGACGGACAAATGCCGACCTGATTGCCGATGACCATGGCGGCAACTCCGGACCCATGATCATATCTTGGTGAATAGTCGGTGTTGGGACCGAACTTTTGCTGGGAGTCAAGATACTCTATGTTCCTGCCCATGAATTCCTACAATATATCTGTTAGCAGACAGTAGAACAAGAGGTCGCAGGAGTATGGGAAACAAACACTGTGATCATTCCAAATGCCTTCGTCGAAAAGCGCGTACATATATGTATCCCGCGCGCTGGCGACGTCGTAGTTATATGTGTATTTGTCACCGTCGGGGTTTTCGGGATCGAAGCTGGAGCTGCCCGGTGAGCCCCAGCTACTACCCTTGGGCAAGGAAACTTGCGAAGGGCCCCAAAAGGGCGTGTCTCGGGGCACGTGGAATTGTGTCTGTCTTTTGTCGCGCCGCGACTCGAACCGGAGCGTGTCATTCAGTGAACTGGGATCCATGTCTAAATCAGGGTCAAAGTCCTCTGGCAGCTCGTCCAACAAAATTCCATCGTTTGGCTTGCCCGCGGCGGCTGGAGCCTCCGGGCCCGAGGGAAGGTCCCAGTGTCGGAATTCGTCCTCTAAATGGAAGGGCATTCCAAGATTGTAGTTTGTCTCCACGTAGTAGTATGCATACGAGACGTCGGGCTGTCCAACGTTTCTATTAGCCCTATTCACAAAAGCCAAGGGCAGTTAAAGGGGGGGGGGAGGAAGTAATCGAGGATAAATAGACTCACCGAGCGTCTCAGAGCGTCCATGGTATCTTGGCCGAGCATGGGAATCCAGTAGAACGCCACCCAGTTTTCCGTGGTCAATCCGACCTCAACGTAGTCATCATACCCCTGAAGCAGGCTGGGGATCGAGCCCACGTTCTCAGGATTCTTGGGGTAGACGATGGCGGGAGCCGGACATCCAATTTCGGGCGGCTCATATGCGCCACTGGTCGGGGTAGGCTGAGCGCAAACTGTCGGAGTGGTCGTCGTAGTCGAGTCCCAGTCCGTCAAGGAGCAGCCGTATACTGTCTCGCAGGCGGACGAAGTTGCAGTGACCGTGGACGTGATTGTCCCGACTAGTGTCTCCGACTTTGTGACCGTCGTGGAGCAAGCCTCTGCCGACTCGGTCTTACAGGACGGTTCGTTACTGTATGTGAGCTTGTTGTCACGACCAACGCTGCATAAAGACAGCCATGTGAGTGAGAAATCTTGTTTGTCTCGAGCAGGGCAGATCCTTACGTGATTTCTGGCCAAGGGGGAAGCGGTGGGTTGATAGTAAACTTGGGGCTTGCAGGGGGACCTATGATATCTGGGGGCGGCGGGCCGCTGTTGGTGAATATCAAGCAACGTTAGCCTATCCCATCCCATACAAGGTTGATTTTACTCTTGATCCGCGTATCCTTGACGGGAAAAAATAAAACTCACGGTGGATAAATGCCTGGAGGGAGTGTCCATTTAAGCGACTTGAATTTGCCTCCAATACATATCTGGACATGATTAGCGTCGGCTGCAGGGTTCGAAGGGGAGTCGCATTGCTATAGGGGCGAAAAGACATACGTTGAAGAACCATAGGTTGCAGCTCGTGATGATCACAACGCCATTGTCGTCGTCGTCGTCATCATCGTCACCGTCATCGTCCTCATTGACAGGTTCGACAATGGCAGGTGGATATGTTCGCCAAGTAGGCAAGGTCGTCGGGGCGGGCTACCAGTTATCGCATTGCATCAGCTCCTTCTCATTCGCAAAACAAGTTAAGGAGAGAAGAGAAGGGGGGGAGGTAGTAAATGAAAATGATGAAGTACCTCAGTAGGCTCTACTGTAGCCGTTGTCTCAACTGGATTCGGTAGTTCCCAGTCTTCATCGTCGTCGCCTTCATCATCGTCGTCATCGTCACCATTAGGCCGTGGCCCTTTGGTCACAGCCGGCCATGCGGGAAGGGTAAGAACACGTGTGGTCGTGCCGCCCTCACCGTCGTCCAGGCTCACGGTGACGGGCGCGATAGGAACGCTAACCCCGACCCAGAGCGAACTGGTTTCCTGATTTCGGCTGATATTGACATTGGAGTACGATAACTCGTCGGTCGTGATTACGGGCAGGTCAATGGTGATTGTCGTCGTCTGCGTCACGAATGCGGTGATCGTTTCGCCGCCCTTGACACTTTCGGTTGTGGTGCCGTAGAGAAGTGAAGTAGTGTACTCTCCCGGGTCGATGGTCGCTGGCGAGGGAAGTTTGCTAGGTGGAAATACCAGCACACATGGCGCTTCACACCAAGCATCGGGCTCCTTGTATACAATGGGGTCCAAGTAGACAGGATCGCCTGTGTTGGCACGCTTTCCTTCCTATCGTGGCACCGGTCGTTAGCGAAAGTCTGTAAAATGTGCCGGTTTATCGTTAGAAATAATCAAATAGACACTCACTCCCTGGAGATCAATGGCCCAGTCAGTTGTACCCCCACAGTTGAGGCCTTTGTACTGGCCGCGCCGGCGCTCTTTGGTCTTGTCGGTCATATATGCGACCCACTCGACGGAATTATAGACCAGATAGTCCGAATCAGTCGCCTCGTCATACCAGTTTTTGATGGCACCACCTTTATCAATAATTTCGAGAATCTCGTAGTTGGAGATATAGCCGCTAGTCTCCGTGCATTTACCCGGCTTTGCAGGTGAATCATTCCTATCACCGAGATACGTGCCTGTTTTCACGGGTTAAATCAAATACAACCGAAAGTACTCTAAGAGAGAAGATGACAAGGGACGTACACATTGGGCCGCGGCAGGTCGAGTCAGACATCTTGAATGATCTCCCGTAGCTGGTCACGCCCACGACAATCTTGTTCGATGGGACGCCAGCTTTTGTCATCATGACTAGGGAATCGTGGGTCTGCGTTGAGTTGATATGGGATCGCAGACAGTTTCCTGCTGGGCAACCCTCCATGGACCATTCCCTGCCAACATCCCATTGACCTGTGTGTGCAAGCTTGATTAGCATCCGATCTCCCCACTCTCGGTAGAGAGAAGCTCATGTTTACTTGACAAACTTACCATGGAAGTCGTATGTCATGTGAATAAAGTAGTCCAGGACCGGCGTCATTTTCTTGACCGGAAATCCCTTGAGATACCAGAAGGACGCCGCAGTGGCAATCGAAAGCGACTTGCCTTTAGGAAGCTTCTCCCGCACGAGCTTCAGGAACTCGAGGTAATTCTCGCCATCGTCCTCACTTCCAGGATCCGATCCCTCAATGTCAGTTGCGCCAGGATACTCCCAATCAAAGTCAAGACCATCCAGGCCATTGTCGTTAGCAAACTTGACGACATTCTCAGCAAATGTTTCCCTATAGTCCGGCGATACCGCCAGGCGGAAGAGACCTGAGGTGGCGGGCGCATTGGAGAATTCCCACCCGCCAAAGGACAGAATCTTCTTATAGTCCCTTTTGGCGTTTTTGAAGGCCTTCCACTGTTCTTGAGTGTCTTTTTTGATAACCACCTCCATGTCGGAGGAGAACTCGCCAAATGAAAAGTGAACGTGGGTATAGCCGTCGTCGATATCGTCGACGTGCATAGTGAGGCACGGGCGGTTGTAGTTCCAGCCCTCAAAATAGCCGATCTTCTTATATACTTCGGGCGCTTTGTCGTCGTTCACCATCTCCATTCCACAGTTGGCGATGCATCCGTTTTCCTCGGGCGCCGATGTGCCGGGGTTTCCAGTCGTGGAGTTAGACGGTATGCAAAAGTCGACTGTGGTGCCGCACATGCCCCATATGTTACAGCAGACATCTAGCGGGCAGGGGTTCATCTCGGCGAGCACGTCGCCCTCCTTTGGAGGCTTCGTGTCCGGCACCGTTGGGCCGCACTCAGCGTTCCACACGGATGCTGGTAGGGGAGGGAACCCTTCACTGACACAGATGCGCAGACCGAACTGGAGATTGTCACAGCCAACCCAGCCCCACGTCTTCTTGTTATAGTCAAACAGATCATCAAGGGTCAACCCGTAGCTTACGGCAATCGTCTTACAGTATTCGTCCTCTTGGACCTCGTGGTACGTGCACGACCCATCTGGGTTTGGGCTTGGCTTGACGTCTGGCAGCGTACCGGACGAGCAGCATACGTGTTGGCCGGGCTGGAGAGTGGTGCAAAAGTTCGGCGTGCCCTTGTTGAAGTTCTCTAACGCCTTGCTTCCAATGCCGCAGCGAGTTGCCAGCGAGGGACAGGTGTCTTCGGCTTCAACTTTGATATTGCGACACTCGGCTCTTGGACTCAGTTGGCGCACATGACTGCGTCTTCGATGCTGTTGTGTGCTATTGTTGCTGGCATACGTCCAGAGGGAGGACTTGGTGATAGACTCAGCTTCCGCCTCGGACTTGGCGGACAGAAGCTTGCCGTCGTTCCACGATTTAACAATGCTCTGGACGGCGCGGAAATCACCGCCTGCATCCGCAACGACGCCAAAGATGTGGCTTGCCGTACAGTGCCCCCCGCAGATCTCGAGAGACTTTCTAGAGGGGGCAGAGTCTGAGTCTTGACCCTCAAGGGCCGTGATCAGCTGATCCAGCATGGACTCGAAGGTCTGCATCAAATCGACCTGTGACCCGGAATAGAGACCAATGAGCGTGCCGTGGAGATAGGCAAAAGTGATCTTTTTCTTCCCGGGGATCACGGTCTGCTGCCTGAGGTTCCGTTGGAGAGCCTGGGCGGCGGTAATCATATCTTCGGTTGCCTTGCTGCTGAGGGGATCGTTGGTCTCCGACTTTGTCATGTAGGCCGTGGAATTGGATTTAGTAGCCGATCTTCCGCCATGGGCAACACTTGCAGTAGAACCAGAGCCATCACGCCGCTGAGGAGACGACGGGCCAAAGTTTGTTGCGCCCAATGCATCAGGGGCTACGTAGCCGGAAGCAGTAAGAAAATTGACTTTGCTATGCGCGTTGCCAAGGGTACAAGCGCGGATTGTGGTGTGTGTTGAATCGTCGTCGACGGGCGTGTACAGGTTAAAGTTGAGCAAGAGTGGCTCGTTGCACGCGGCGAACTCGTCCACGCTGTGGTACGTGAACCACTTTGTGGTATTCCCGCTGGGGTCACAGGCACCCGGGCAGGGGGTTTTGTTCAACTCGAAGCGCTGGAATTGTGACAGGCCAGACGCCAGACCACTGGCTGCGGACAGCAGCAGCAGCCTGGATGCCCAGCAAGCATTCCAGAGCCACATGGTGTAGGTATGACAGACTTGCAAAAGCTTTTTTCACTCCCAGCCATCAGGGCCGACGCGACTCTTTATCAACTTGACCTTTCCATCCCTGCAGCCGTCGGGACTTAGCCTTGACAAGCCCAAGGGGGCGCAGAGATGCCGCCAGGCACATACAATCTTCAGAGAATTGGAAACAGAGTGCACGGACAAAAGCGCTCCGCTCTCCCGCAGCCGGGGGCTGAATCGGTTCATTTCCCATCATATTGCAAGGTACAAGGTACAGGGGAGAACAATGTGTGAATTGAGTGGTGATAATTTCCCCCTGACTCCACTCCGCACGTGGCGTCCACCACGACCCTATGCAGTTAGATCACCTTAGCTTGAGGCTCGAGCGAGTGATCATACCCATCCAGGATGTGCCGGAGTGCTCCGTGCTGGAACCCCGCGCTTGGCGGGGGCCATGATCAAGGACAAAAGTATAGCTGAGCGGTCATGGTACATCAGCGAAGATGAGTCTCGTCGAAGGGAAGAAACTCATGCTGCACGCCGAGTACAAACTTGTATACCCTGCTCACTGAAGAGATTGGCAGCACCTCAGGAAGAGGAAATTTGCTCTCAACTCTTGGCATAAATTTCAAAAGCAGCCGCATCAATAAAAAGACTCAGGGAAACCGTTCCATCCGGACGGCCCGGAACATCCCCGACGGCCCTTCCGCTGTTGGTGCGAGGGCGGAGCAGTGGAGTCGCCAAGAAACGCCTCATGCCCATTCCAATCTCCGGGGATCCTGTTGTAATTGAACTTTCTACTACTCCGTACTAACTGGTTATTTCCCAATGAGGTCTCTTCTTTTTTCCTCCCTTTCTACCTTTCATCCTTCTCTCTGGAGTATGATGTTCTGATATCTCAGGCGGAAGGGGCTGCTGGAAATGTGAGAGGTAGAGATACCCAAATTTGCCCCAATTTATTACGAGTGTGAGAATATTCAGTTATACGGCAGGCAGGGCTGGGTTGCGATTATGTGTCATCTCGCTTGCAGGAGGAATAATCGGGAGGGGGCTTTCAACAATCGTCCCTAAAGGATCACAAGCCCAAGGATCCATGCAAACTTGGTTCCTTCATTTAACGAAGAAGGCAATGTGAGCTTGGCTCTCGGTTCACGCATCCATGAACAGGGAGGGAGGGTTACATTCAATCTTAATTGCGAGCACACTAGTGTCTTATGAAGGCACTAGTTTGAATTTCTCAACTCGAAGCTGCGCTAGGGAGATGACGGGGGCGCTGACTTTTTGCTTGTGATGCATGTTGGAGCGCTTCTGTTTGATGGATTCAGTTTACAGCCGGGCGATATCCCCAAAGCAATCCACCCCCATGCCAAGAATCACGATGGATGAGTGCGGGCCTCGCCTGCGAGGTAGTTGAGCAGAAAAAGATGATCAGACGATACAGGAACGGTGCAGCCCCTGCTCATAGGGTAGAACCTTCCGGCCTTCAACACCAGGAGACCTGTGCTTACAGCCTCGCCGGAGGATTGTCCGAAACACCCAATAGGGGGGGGAGGGCGTCGGTAAAAATAGACGGTCAAACAGAAGTGGTCCACAATGATGTGCCTTTCGACTACGGAGTCCTGTGGTCCTCTCGGAAGTTTTCACAGTGCGGTATATCAAGTATAAAGCCCTGCTGCTCACGCTCACGATCTCGTGCGCTGTCATACTGTCTCTGCCGTTGCTCAAGGTACCTACTTGTTACCGCATTATTACAGCATTGCTACCGTTTAGACATTTCCTCTCCTCGTTATCTTTCGGGATGGCTGGGTCTTCGTTTCGACTGGCTGGGCTTCTCGCCCTCGCCCTTGGCAGCGTCGAGGGACGTCCGCAGTATTTTGCGAAGGATGCGACTCCTGGTTCGCCGTCTGACCCCAACACCATTTCGACCTGTACGTGGTGGTGGGACAATGTTGACGGGGCCATCGCGTGCGCGGACATGCCGTTCGAGTGGGGCATCAGCATGGAGGACTTCCTCCTCTGGGTCAGTTCAGCACAGAAATAATACCCACGTTTTTTTTCACTGACACCTGGTGCTGACTGTGTGTTCTTTCTTTGTTCTGACAGAACCCTTCCATCACTGCCGACTGCGGCAACTACCTGACGGGGCGGTCTTACTGCGTCGAAGCCCCGGCGGGCGGCAACGAACCTGCCCCAACCACCACCACATCCAGCGCGGAGGAGCCGACGCCAACGAGCGGCAATGGCGTGGAGACGCCGCAGCCAACGCAGCCAAACATGGTCGAAAACTGCAACGAGTTCTACTTTGCCAAGGTGGGAGACTCATGCGCCTCGATCGCGGCGGGCAACGCCATCACGGCCGCGCAGCTCTTCGAATGGAACCCGTCCGTCGGCTCTGATTGCAGCGGGCTCTGGGCCAACACCTATGTCTGCGTAGGGCTGATCGGCGGCTCCGGCCCCGCCCCGACCACCACCACCACCACCGGAAACGGCATCCCCACGCCGACCCCGACGCAGCCCGGCATGGTGGATAACTGCGACGATTTCTACTTGACCAAAGTCGGCGACTCGTGCGCGGCAATTGCGTCCAAAAACAGCATCTCACAACAACAATTCCTGGAATGGAACCCGTCGGTAGGTTCCGATTGTACAGGGCTCTGGGCCAACACATACGTGTGCGTGGGCCGCATTGGCGCCACGCCTACCTCGGCGCCAACAACCTCAACAACCTCAACAGGCAACGGCATCGCGACTCCAACCCCGACACAGCCCGGCATGGTGGATAACTGTGACGGGTTCTACTTTGCCAAAGCCGGCGACACGTGCGCGACAATTGCGTCCAAATACAGCATCACACAGCAGCAGTTCCTGAGCTGGAATCCCTCAGTAGGTTCCGGTTGCTCAGGTCTCTGGGCGAACAACTACGTCTGCATCAGCCGCATTGGAACTTCGACCAACCCCCCGCAACGACGACGACGACTGCGGGCAACGGGATTGCGACGCCTACGCCGTTCCAAGCCGGCATGGTGGGCAACTGCAAGAAATTCCATTTCGTTGTCAAGGGCGATATCTGTGCTTCAATCGCGACAAAATACAGCATCACCGTTGCAAATTTCATCAAGTGGAACCCTGCCGTCAAGAGTGACTGCACTGGGATTTGGGCCGAGAACTATGCTTGTGTTGGACTGATCTAAATTTGGCAGACACACACTCACCCATTTCATAGCCTAGCAGAACCTGCTAGTGTATTATACCACTCTATAGTACTTATGTCAATAAGTTCCTTATCCGGCTTCCAAGGACGAAATAGCGTGGGTTTGGAGATATCAATTAATACAAGACTATGAAATATGAATTCTATTTGTACCCAGATAGAAGCTTCTGCTCATATGATTTTATGCATGTAAGCCAGGAATATATTCGTCCTTATGCCTCTCGCTTGTCCGGTCATACTCCCTAGTCATGAAGAAACATTGTTCAATCTTGCCCTTTTTCTAGAAGGAGTCCAGCCCTTTCCAAGGTATTGGCCCTAGCAGACAAGATCACCGCGAATTAATTTCTCTCGTGGGTATCGCCATCAGGTAAAACGGCAACGCATCATTTTGTCTCCACAAAACTCAGCTCGGAAGATTTTTGACATTTTCGACGCATTCGATCGATCCAGAAAATTTATAAGCGATGGAAATAGCTGTCGATCAAATCCTGCAAGCACGAGCGACAATCTGCGTCTGGAAATATGCGGATAAACCTCCCTAGCATGAGCTATTGGCTGAAGCAGCTTATGCCCTCAAGAAGGCACTGAATTATGCAGCATTTTGTTTTTCTCGGGCTAGTGTCTCATTCCTCCGGCAAAAATGTTAGTGTCAAGACGTTCATAGGTCTCTTTCGCCTTTTTCACGACCACGAGATCTGCCTGATTACCGCAAAGCCTGCTATGTCCGCTTCAAGCCGTCTCTGGAGGGAAACAAACCATTGCTTATAGCTCCTTGAGTGAAGCATGGCAGCAAGAGGAATTGGAAATGCTTCGGCCCACGTGGTTAAACGGTTTAATTTTACGTCGCTAGCCAGTGGATCATGTCATCCTCAAATGTCTATTAGTGTTTCCCCAGTGGCCTTATTTTGCTGAGCTCAGCGAAGCAAATAATACAGGCAAGGCAGTTAATGACTTCTAGTCCAAAATTCCCGCCTCAGGTTTGAGATCTGGCTTCTCATTGGTCGAAAAATTCATATGTAACGTGACTAGGGTAGGGTTTATCACCTGACTGTGCCCGTCTATAGCGGTACGGCCCCGTATATCACGTGTTCGGTGCTTACGTACTGCAAGACCCCCATTCCTTATATCACCTCCCTCTATACACCGGTATAGCCCATCCCTACCTACGATAGATGTCCTAACTTGTGTCTAATGCTATTGTGCTAAGCCTACGGCTGAATTCGAGATCGTCTAGGGCTCCACTTCCCGTGATACCCTCCGTCGGACGTGTCTCTAGTGTTGATCTATTAGTAGTATGTAAAGATATATATTTCATAGGGGTGGGGTGAAAATGCGGGTGGGTAAATACTTAGTGGCAGGGTCTGTATTACAGTATAAACGACCCTGTGGGGCTAATCCCTTCTGGGTATAGTCTGCGGCGGGCTGAGTGCATCAGTGTTACTCACTAATTGGATACTGAGCACTCACTAAGCACTCATTGATCATCAGTCATTCTGCACGTGACTGAGCTGAGCATGAGCACTGATCTGAGCCCGTGCTGACATCTACTCAGTGAGCCTGAGCCTGAGCACCCTCATAAAAGCGGCGGCAGCTCAAATAGGAAAGCTCCACCCGCCAGGGAAAATCCGGTACGTATAGGTGCATACGTACTTCTGAAAACATTCACATTAATTTGGTCGTTTTCTCCGTCCTACTTCCTGGGCTCTAGCTGCTTAAAGTTCATCTTTTATGGACATCTGGCATTCCAGTACCATTGCGATCTCAAATATTGGGTGTTGAAGAGCTAGGTCATTTTTAGTAGAAAGATTGTGAGCTCTTCCAAAAGCATGCATGAAACTTCATTATCGAACAGAGATTGGCCGAATGAAATCCTCTATACTCGGCTTTTCAAAGGTTGTGCATGTTAACAGAGGGCCACGGTATTCAGTGTCAGGCTTTGATTTTTCGCGAGCAACGTAACGTTAACTATGTAGCAGTGAGCTCACTTGAGCGCAATATTAGCAGGATTCGAGCAGAACAAAACAATGAATTATGTCGCGGAAGAAACAAAATACCCTAATATGTAGCAAGAGAACTGTAGGAGACGCGTGGAATGTTGCATATTGGTGAAGTCGTACGACCATGACGAGAATTTGCGAAGATCTGAGAGTTGTGCACCATATCTTTGTCCCTTAGCACTTTTTAATTCGGGGTTGTAAACGAAATTCAAACTACTGGAGAGCAGAGCTGCTCTTGCGAGAACGACCAGATCATCGCTTGGGCGGTGCTTCCCCGCCAACAGGGGTTGCTACTGGATATTAGTAAAAAACGAAAATTTGTTAGGAGAACTCACATGTCTCAGAGACTTGATTGATCCTGCCGTCTCGGTAGCGGACAGAAATCCCACAGCAGCGGAATCGATTGGCCATCGCTCCAAATCATTCACGCCAACAACGCCTTCATCTTTGTCACATTTCTGCATGAGCCGCATCGTAATCAACGGAAGGGCCGCAATATATGCGGCTTCGGATTGATCTGGTGTACAATCTACACAAAGGTCCAAACACGCTGTGAAATGTTAGTCAGATAATGCAAGGATGGGGCCACCAACAAACCTATCTTGATGATCCCGTCAATACCAAGTAATATATCGTCACAGGCCAGAGATTGATGCGCAAGACCAGATAAAGCTAAACAGCGGACACCGTCGAGGATCTAAAATGTCAGGACAACTCCATCGATAGGGCCATGATGGACAAACCTGGCATATAATCGATCCCAATTCTGCCTCGCTGGGATAAACAGATGGAAAAGCAACAACATGCGCGAGAGTCAGCGGCAAGTCGTCAACCAAGAAGAATGCAAGATCTTCGTGCATGTAGCATTCATGTAAGGAGAGAACGTTCGTGTGTTCAAGACGTCCGAATCTGTAGATTAATCTTCGAGCATTTTCTTTCCGATAGGTCCGGATCGCTGCGAGACGGACGGGTGCGGCGTGTGGCAATTGTAACTTTGCCAGCGATCTCATACGTAATGACTTTCCGATAGGTATCCCACGGCGACTCCTGCCTTACGATCAAGACGGATGCAATGTTTTCAAGACCACACAAGCGGGGTAGACAAAGGCTCTTGGGAGGCCCCGTGACAACATTCGATCTGCTGCGGCGGCGAGGTCTGGTTAGTTTCGTGTTGGCCGCCGTCTGACTCTCGCAGGTGATGGGGGTTGACATCGAGATGGGGAGCTGAGATTGAGCTTTGATAGTGCCAAGGTCACATATCATGTTTTCTTTGAATGGGTTAGTTGACATGATGAGAGGAGTGTGTTTTCTCTGATTTAATATGTGCAAGAATTAAGAGAGAAAGTGGAATTCAATTTATTTGTACGCGCGGTGCTTAGGATTGAACTCTCGTCAATGGTAAGAGATGGCAGCTTCGACCGACTTTCGTAAGATGAGGCCGATGAGCCACAGCGCTTGCATACAACTGTTAACGGCACGTGTATCCTTTTACAACTGACAATGAGCTGTTCAGCCATCATGAACATGAGTCTCGAGCTAATTAAGAATTCCATACGACTCGACACATGACCGCACTGCTCAGCATAACTCAACTTCCTCGGGATCTTGTTACCCTTAACAGTGCTAGGGGATGCTATCCACGGACAAATTCTAGGTTTCCTATGACTGACAACGCGCCAAAAATAAAAAGACGGAAGCTATCAAACGAGCCAGAGTCTGCGGCAGCTTCTTTGTAATGGCGGCCTCATGTTTCGCTCATGAGTCAACGAGCGCATCGGATCAGGCATGCTATGGTTATTACAGTAATTGGTAGGCTCATGAAATAGAAAACTTGCCAGTAATTATTGCGTTGCGCAGAGGAGTTCCACTTACATGGCCATGTAATGATCACTCGCAACTTCTATGCGAGTAGCATCTAGTTGATGCTGTAACGACTATATTGGCCAGATAAAGGGAGAGAATCCGGTGGACTTGGTTATGGTTAGGTATGCCTTTGACTTGAAAGCTCACCTTTCAGCACGGCGAGTCGCTCTCACACAATTCTCCGACGAATACTGGCACGGCTGATTTGGGTCTCGGCGTTCTAGTTTTACCTGTCTTACCAATACTAGAGTCTAATATAGTCTACAAGTGATGCTCCGTTGATTCACATGAATTAATATGCTGACATTTAGACCCAGAATGACTGCCAAACGGCCGATTTTTAAGGACCAGCAGTCATGAGCCGATTAACTGAACGGTACAAATTTTTCAATTATTGTAGATGGTAGAGGACAGAACCATTGCAACACTACGAGGGAAGCGGGTTGAATAATGTAAAGAGTGGCTGGTTTTGATATTCGAGGCAATTCGACTTGCGAAATTGCTATTTCTTCATTGCTATCCCCGATTGGTCTCGCACACGCTGTCTGATTTCTAATATATTGCATTGATTGGAGATCAAGATGCAGCTGTTTTGCATATTTCTTTCTGCTTTCTGAGTGTACTAACATCGCACAGGAAATTGTTCAGCTCCTTGACATTTGAAAGTCCCCTAGTCATGTACTGATAGATTTTAAGCTTAACACGTTCTCAAATGTCGATTATTGGTTACATAACACTATATTTGCTCCTCAATTTTCAATGACCAGTTATGCTATCAAAATATAGCCGACAAGGTAATAAGAACGAGGGGCGTCTCAGTCATACAGCCGCTCCTCATCGGCAGCAGCACACTTCTGGCACTTCTTTTCTGGCTGTGTTGGTGGGGAATCAAAATCGGATACAGCGTCTGTTTCCATCTCTTTCCTCGCGATGATCTCTTCGTACCTGCTCTGTAGCAATTGGGTGGCGAGATGCATAGTGACCCACTCCCTGGGCAAAATGGCGTCGGAGATCAAGATGCGGTCGGATAGCGTTTGTAGGTATTGAATTGTATCGTTGACCATTTTCCTACTGATTTTAATATTGCTTGGAGGACTCTTTCGATGCACCAGTTGTGAGCGGCCCGGTATTTGAGAGGTGGAGTATGAATGTCGGCGTCGCTTTCGTGAGAGGGTTGAGGATTCGGCTGCTCTCTTTTTCGCGTCCAGAGGGGGCAGGTCTTGGCTTTCAGCCTTTGTGACGCTTGGAGGCAACGTAGTGGCCCTTGAGCTAGCAAGAGAGGTACCAACGGAAGTAACTGCCTCTGTAGTTACGGAGCCAGTGGACTGGTCAACAGGCGGTTGTAAAACCTGGCTTGTGTGGCCGCGATTCCCGTGGATGAATAGGCCAACGACCCGACGGAAGTTTTCAGCCGATTCATTGCCTTCATGAAATAGATTTGTTAGCTGTTGGATTTCTCGAGAAGGGGATCTAAAATAACGATACCAGTTTGCCCCGTACGTCCATTGTGACCTTCTGTGTCGGGGGTATTGGACCTCTCTGATACCTGTGACAGGTTGTGATCCATGATTGATTGGCTTCGCTAGTGATGGTGTTGTACTGGCAAGTTATTGGAGCAAAAGAAAGACACAAGAGCTTCGACCGTGAGGACAATCATGACCTTTTAAATGTTTGGGGCTGAAGCGGTCATGCCCACCATATCCACAGTCAAGATTTTGCTGGTTACCATTATCAGCGCCGGCTCCTAGGAGGACTATGGATGTCAATATGTGACCACAATAGTGGTATGTACACCCACGATCGAATCAAGGATGTTTTAGTCCAGTTGCCGTATCCGAATGGTGCTCGAGTCACCAATTGATTTGAAGCATATTCCCAGGAGCAACATGGCTGCCAAATCATTGTTGCTCATGAATAGGAACGTGTGGAAGGGAGTTCCATTTCTCACGCCTTGGGGGTTGTTAGAGGGCGATGATTCAGCCGCGCCGCGCAGCCACGATAAAGATCCGACTGGCCAAAAGTCTGTTTTGTGCTTCCAGGAGCACTGAACGCTATAGGTTCTTTGATCATAATCCGCTGGTATTGTGCTGATATGATATTATCTTTTGAGTGTTCTCATTCCAGCACCTTTGGCGATGTAAGGGTAGTGAATGGTGTCAGAAAGTTGAATCAACGTTGACATCAACGTTGAACATAAAACACCATTGAACACCAGCAGCATGTTGTTTTCCGCCCATAGAAGATATCCATCTGAGCCATGTTGGTTTCCTTGCCAATAGTGGGACTTTGTTAAATTTGCCACTCGAAACTCGTTTCCTAATCGGCTGCGTTGGTTCACCTAACAGTGACGGTTTTGTCATGGCTTAGAGACGCATCCTACACTGGCTGTTAAACACAAGCTCAACAAAAGAGATAGAAAAGAGTTGACTACATCTTTCTGGGGGCTGTTGGGTAGGTTTTCAATCAACAGCAAACCGTAGTTTCCTCGAGTACAGCGGAGTGAGGTATCGCAAACAGACCAAGGCAAACTACGTCGGTATCAGAAATCTGCCGTCGGTGTTCGTCCAATCTTGAGAAGTCTTACGCGTAATCATGACACATATTAAGGAGGATAATAATATAGTAGCAGGAAAGTAAATCCTGGGAACAAATGGGTGATTTCCGGGGATCCGTACTGAGAGATCAGACACTTCTGTAGAGGCCATCGGCCTTGAGCATAGGAATAGTGCTTCAATTTGAAACATACTTATCTAGTAAAAGCCTCTGTGGAATGCCACTAAGACACCTAATTAAATGGTATACGACGCCGCTCAGTATCAGCTGGGTCATTCTTTGTAGAGGCAGCATTTGCGTAAAGATCACCTAGCACATATAACCTTTACAGTACCCGGAGATAATGACCTGCTTCATCTTTCTGCCTTCCACTCTTTACTTTGCTCAACTGTTCCCTTGAGCGACACCTGCCTCACCTTTTCACACTCGATAAATCTGTTCTTGCGGACACAAAATGTCTCCGAGGACTGCCGCCGCCATGATACGAATGCGTCTTGTCATTATTTCCCTTACCATCACTTGGCTGGCCCTTGCTAGTCTCAGTTCGGCCATTGTACACTTTGCGGTCGTCCTGCGAGACCGTGCAAAATCCGACCTCGTCACCCCGAGCGACTCTATTTTGGACATCACATTCCAAAACCTCATGGACAACGTCGTCGATGGCATGGTGATTGTGGCCCTGGTTTCAGCCCTGTTTTCCATCTTCGGGTTAATCCTTGTGATCTACCCGAAGTGGCTACAAGAGAACTGCGCCGCTCGGTTTTACTACGGTTGCATTCAAATCGTCGTGGGCATGATCGTGCTCTCCTTAGGGGGTTGGATTGCCAGCCGCGTGCACGGCTTTCAGACATCCTTCGAGTTTTTTGACAGGGGCCACATTCCATATTACAAGGTTATGTATTATGGATCCGTTGGCCAGGCCGCTTTCGGATCTTTAGTGGTCATCGTGTCTTGTGTGCGTTTTGTCGTACGTGACTTACATGGTCACTAGCAGAGAACGCGCACCGAGCATACAACACAGTCAAAGTGGCGGTTCCAACTGCCTACTAGACTAGGGCTGTGAAGAACGAGACAGCAGGTATTACGAATAAGAACAATCGCAGAATTTTATGATGATTTTCGAAGAATGAGGGAGGTGGAGTCCATAAACATTAGAGAGGTGCGACGGATAGGTTCATGCAAAGGAGGGGCTTTACTGCAGAGTTGCGGAGATGATTTAGATATTGGATTTCCTGATTGGAATCAAAGCATGTTCATCGCTTGATCGGACTAGCCGGTCGATATTGGCCGATATTGGAGCGGTGTTCTGAGTGGCTCGATATATAGGACAAGTGATGGTTGACGATCTTCTGTGTAAATATCCATCAACCTTGGTGTTCGTAAAGACTTCAAAAACTGACCCTGGGACATGTCAGTAGTCCAGGAATCACATAGCCAGAGGAAATCGTACGTGACTTATAGAACTATCCATCTTTACTTTTAGCAATTTAGTCACGTTCCTATGAACAGCTCTATCAGTGATAGGAACTGACATCCTAGCCCTAGGAGTTATCTTGCTCCCGGATACTTTAGTGCGGTTTCTGGGGGCATACAAGCGGCTTCTAGGAGCCACGTAGGCCCCGGGAAGCCCGACGTAGTTTCTGGGGCTTTTACCTGTACCTCGGAGAATCAACGTCATATCCCTGTTGATAGCTTATTAATTCCTGGAGCCTTGAGTCCGGTTCCTAAAACCATAGGCTAGGCATCTGGGAATAATAAAGTGACTCAGATTTGTGCGTAGGTCTGGAGAAGGTGTTTGGTGAGTTAGTACCCTACGCTGGGAGGCAGAAGATTGATTCTAGGATTCAGAAATACGGCCCTGGGAGTGCAAAAGC